ATTCTGGGAGTTGAAGTCCACTCATCTTAAAGTGGCCAAGTTTGGACAACACTGCATTATGTGGAAATGTATAACAGAGCCCCAATGCGATTTTTTTTAGAAAAAGCATTGGGGCAGAAGGCAATTACTTCTGTTCTGCTTCAAATTTCTCTCACACACCCATGTACACACGCATGCAGCCTCTGAGCTATGCAGAAAGAAAAGATGCTTGAAACATCAGCAACTCCACTGCCTGTGTTTACCTGACAGAGATTTATACTCTGGAAATTCTTCAATACTTGAAAGTGTTCCATTAAGTTTAGGAAGCATACCAATTATACCCCCTTTTCAGGTTTTATTTCTGTTGCAGTTTATCAGACTGTAAATGGAACAAATTTTAATCTTGATAAAAAAAGTATAAAAAATTACCACAGTGAATGTATGTAAAATGGTGTGTAACACAAAAACGGTTTTTAAAATGTGGCTATCAAGGATAAATCCCAGTGGAACCAACGGGGCTGCTTCATTATGCATTTGTGCACAATGTGTATTTGATTCATCAAATCTAATGCCAGAGCTTTAGATTCCTTCGGATACATCTACAAAGGCTTCTGTACAAAGAGAATTAATACTGATTTGATCAGGGTGGGAAGTGAGTATAGCCAAGTCACTCAGTTGTGATGCCTGGAGAACTCCTTGTGGATGCTCCATGGCCCATGAAAACTGCAAGATCAGGACACCAAAGTCCATAAAGCAACAAGCAGACCTTTGAACAATGTGTTCTTATAGTTCATCATGTTGGTAGACATTATATTCTTTGGCAGATATGAAGCCATCTCCATCACGGTCATTCTTCTTAAATATATCTACCAAAATACTATCTTGAACAGAAGAATCCCGTTTTTTGCCGTCTCTTTCAAATTCTTTCTTCAAATAATGGTTTATCTAAAGGAATCAAAAACAACAATAATTTCAACTTCTGTTCTATAGGAACTCCAATATACTGACTGAAAATCAAGAGACTACATAAAAAGAAGACCAACGTTATTATATTCTAAAATATATGAAGTTCCATCTATGGTCACAAAACAGATTTCAACTCACAAAACAAACCTTTTCCTTGCTCACTTCACACTTGCACCTTCAATGCTCTGGAATATATTTTAGGAAACACAGCAGGGCTAGAGCAGGGAGTTGAATCTGTTCTACCAGAGGGATCCATTTTGCTGGCAGCCATCATTAGCACAAACCACTGACACCAGCAGCTTACAGTCAAGGAGGAGGATTTTTCCAAATGTTTGTGCATGAGGGATGAATCCAAGAAATGCCATTGTTAAAATTAGGGAGCTCCTTACCCATGAGGAAATGAAGCAGAATCCTCTACTAGGAAAGCAAAAGAGTCTCAGGTAAACTAGTTCATCTGAGAGGGATTCACTGGTCTGGTTGTATTTTCTGGCAAAGTTGAGTAAGACAGGGACAGAAAGAGAATTGCTTCTTCTACTATCAATGCAACAGTATGCTCACTGTTCCCATGGTCAAGGTTGTCTTTCCTCAGTGGTGAGAATAGGTCATAGCTCTCCTCATCTGAAAGAGAGACTGTTGGGGAGCACAATACAAGAAGCCAAATAGCTTACTTCCGTGTTGCCCAAAGAATGGCTAATGTCTTAAGAATTGTGGAGATGAGCCTGAATCCCAGATAAAAGGAGGTGGTTTAAGGCAAGGATGGACAATATGTGATCATATGTTGAACTCCAATTCAATCAGTGCTAGTCATCATCACTAATGGTGAAGGTTGGGAATTGGTATCCAGAGTCACAGCTTGTCCACCCAGGTCTAAAGCAACACTGAATTCAAAGAACACTGGAGGACTAATGAGAATTAGCATTTTCTATTCTCAACTATTATTTATACACTAAAAGTGTATAAACTAAATGAACTAGTGGTGATCCAGACATCCCTTCCCAAGAAAAGAACCAATTTTTCCCCCCAGTTTTAATACATAAAACATGACTGTAAAAAGAACATGGTTCATACATTCATTCCACATTACTAGATAAAATAATTGTCTATAAACAAATGAAATGTTTTAGTGAAGTGACTTAGAACATTATTCCTCATACCTCTTGCTTTGAAAGCTTTTTGTCACTATCCAGGTCTATTTGAGAAAATGCTTCAGCACTCCGTGGTCCTTTAGTTACCGCATACAATTCAATTTCAAAGATCAGTGTTGCATTCGGTGGAATCTTTGCTGGTTCTAAGATGTAACAGGGAAGTTTTAGGAAATGCATTCTGAAATCTGATCATTTCAACCACAGACCACCCCATTTCTGTGGCTCTTTAGCAATGTGTTAATGATGGATTTTACATCAATGGAGATGCTTTATTGAACCACTTGGAGTCAATCCTCCATCATCAAAGGCACAATGTACATGAATAGTGCCCTGTGCACACTCTTCATCCCAAAATCTTTTGCCGTGCCAAGGGAGGGTAGTAAATGGCAGAATGGGATGCTTGGTGGTGTTGTCACTGCTTTAACTATAATATGAAGCCAAATGGCACTGGCAGATCACAAGGTGAACTTCATCCCTCTCTTATTAATATGTGGGCTTTTAGGAATATGGAAGCAAAACATTTCAAGATAGAAGGACCTCAAAAAAGGAAGATGGACATCAAAATAGGATATGTGAGGTTTAGCAGGTTCTCAGAAATAAAAGATAATGAACACTGGAGACAGGTGCTATTATTGAGGGAGTGAGTTTCCAGAATTAGTCTGGACAAAGTGATTTGCAAGCCATGCACATGCAATTAGTCAGTACAAGAGCTGGTCCTCTTCTCGATAGGGGAACTCATCCAAAGTGACTAAATCCAAAATGATGGTAGGTCAAGACTTGGTTCCTCTCTGTCCTTTCCAGGGTTAGGAAAGGCTTCTTCCTGAAATCTAGCAGGCACTGCTTACAGAACTGAGTAAGAGCTGGGTCACAGGGATTAGGCTTGACATTCCTTAATCCTAGGATTTATTCTGTATGTAGCTCTGAAAACTAAAAATTAAAATAGGTTCTTCATCACAAACAATTTTGAAATAAAAACTCATATGAAGAGTTCTCTGTGAATAAACAGGCAAAGATTACCTCCCATGCAGAGACTAAGACAGTCCCCTACATCTATAAACGTGGATTGGTCAAATTTTCATGTGTGTTTAGAAATAGCCAAATCTTGTGAGGTTTTAACAATCTCACCAAAGACTGAATGCACAGATGCTTAAATTGTGAGTGCCATCTAGGTCTGTCACAGCTATTCTGCTGCCCATTGAGTACTGTACAAATCTGAACCGTACCCACAATGCATTATGTTGGCCAAGTATGGATAAAGAACTCTCTTTAACATTTCCTAAAGCAACAGCTTGAGGCATATTGAATCTTTAGAGGGTTATACATGTGTGCCATGATGTATATTAGCCGGGAGTGGGGGGTGGGGAGGACAGTTTCACAAAACTGATCCAAGAGATCATTCTCATCCTTTTTTTAAATCAAGGCACATGCAGCAGCCACACTGATCACTTATATTTCCTCCCCCGTTTCAAGATTTAGTGGCAAAGCCTACTACACAAGAATTCAGTCACTAGGAATTCCCAGAGCAATACATACCACAGGAATACCCCTGGAAAGAAGTAAAAAGCCACATGCATTCTTGACATTCTTAACTAGGGTCATCTTTGCCCAGCATGCAGGATTATGCTGATAGAGAACAAGCAGGTTGTAGGTGGGGAAAAAATACTTTCTTCATTTGCTGCCTAAAAAAAAGAGTCATCATTAGTGTCCAACAACGCTCATGTGTTTTATAATATCTGCTGAGAGATCACAATGCAGTAACATGGCTATGGAAATCACATTAAGATAATTACTGGCTTTAAGAGAATCTGAATCACAGGGGGCTAGCCTTTGAGAATTTTAAACATGCTAGAGAACAAGCCATATGATATAGGAGCTGTATCCTTCGATGTTTACACTTTATTGGTTTCACTTTAAATTAAAAAAAAAACAAAAACCTAAGCTCTGTTCTACTGAATTCAGTTGTGACTAAGTTCTGCCAAGTCATCCATAAATACTGACTCTAGGTCAGTGTTGTCCAAACTTGGCCACTTTAAGATGAGTGGACTTCAACTCCCAGAATTCCCCAGTCAGCCATGCTGGCT